TGTGTGTGTGTGTGTGTGTGTGTGTGTTGTGGTGTGTGTGTGTGTGTGTGTGTGTTGTGTGTGTGTGTGTGTGTGTGTGTTGAGAGAGAGAGAGAGAGAGGAGAGAGAGAGAGAGAGAGAGAGAGAGAGAGAGAGAGAGAGAGAGAGAGAGAGAGAGAGAGAGAGAAGGAGAACAAGAGAGAGAGAGAGAAGAGAGAGAGAGAGAGAAGAGAGAGTGAGTGAATGAAGAATGCACCAAACATTATTGAAAGAATATACCCAACTTTAAGTAGACTTTATGTGGTCTGCAGGAAGAGAAGGAAGGAAAAGGTAATGTGGAATCATAAATAAAGCAGTAATAAAATATCTCTTACTAAACAGAGAATACAAATAACAATGGCTCCATGGATTCCAGAAGTCAAATTTATGTATAATCTATAATAGATTATGTACAGTATCCACACACAAAAAAAGATTGCTTGGCAATCTCTGTATAATATATTCAACAAAAGCAATTCATTATGAAATGGGTATCATCAATAATGAAACAAAGCCATTAATGACAAAATCATTATAAATAAACTATCAGCAGAATATCAAATTACTGAATCATAAAGCAGCATAATTAGTAGTACAATGAATAGAGATGACACCAAAAGTGGGAAAATGTGTAATTTCCCTTTTGTTTTCTCACCTGTGAGGTCACAATACAAGTAACCCCACTGTGCCCCAAATCATACCCACTGTGGTGGACACGCTGTGAAAATATAATAATATAAAAACATAAATTATCCCTTCCATAGGCATTTTAAACTTTGTTCCTTAACTTCAAGACTTTTGGCTTGGCAAACTGAGCAAATTTACCTAACCACATAGCCTTGAAAACAAGCCAAAAACATAAGCAGGTATCCATCACTATACAGAGGATGAATCCTTGAACATTAATTTTAAGGTGAGACCTTATACCAAAGCATTTTCACATGGCTTATTGTTGATTTTCTAGGCATTCAAAGTAAAGAAATTATTGTAAAAGAAAACCTGGTTAAGGACATTTAGAGGCAAGAATTATTAAAATAAGCATGAAATTATAATACAATTATAAAAAAAAGATAAATAAAAATTAATAATAGATATGATGAAACTGGGTAAAGAAATTACTGAATGATAATTTCAACACAGCTTTCCTTAGCCTTTTTCCCTACATTATCAGGTCCTATGCTTAAAGTGCAATTATCAAAGATATATACACAATCACAGGACCATGTAAAGATCACACATAACACTGCAATACTGAGGCACAAAAAATTTCTGGAAGTGTTTGATTGTAGCCATGTCTGGGTATGTTCTCTACTTTTAAGTTATAGAGGATCATATAATAGCCTAAACATCGCTTACAGATTACATAATCTATCACAAAAAAAAAAAAACATACATAGAATTCTGGAGGCAATAACCAGACTGAACTGCAAGGAATGCCTGTATGCCATTAAATTTTCAAGGATAAAAAAAATGGTTGTGTAAACAAAGTATTTAAAATATATGATGTCTAAATTACATAAATATACTTTTTATAACTGATGTGGTTATTACAACATTTCATTTTATTCATTTTGAAGCTTTTTTCTTGAACTTCCTTAGTATACAGTATATTTTTCATGTAGTAACTAACTTTTCTCGAGGACATGCACTTTGCCCTGGGCAAGAAGGCTTTTCAAAACTTCCATTCTGCCGTTATTGACTTCAGTACCTCAGCTTTTTCCTGCCTCATTTTTTTTAACTCTGCAATGCCTTGTCCTCCTCAGCCTTAGATTTCTCCATTATTTCCTCAAGTTTTTTTTTTACCCTCTCTATGTTCTCAATACTCTTCTTGTTAGAAGTTTCAGTAGTAGACTCATTTTTTCTCTTCTGTCCACTTATCCTCTTGTGTACTTTGGTGATCTTCTCTTCACAGGCATTATCCTTCAAATTGATATCTCTCCTTACATCACTTTGAATTACACTCTGGACACCTTTCCGACTTTCGGATTCCTTTTCATGCATTTCCTTTTCCTCAGACTGGACTCTCCCTCTTTGGTTATCATTTTCCACCAACTCTCTTAGCTCTCCTTCTTGTGCTGCATCATTGTGATTTGGTAAAAATCTGTTGGTCCATTCTCCTGAGTTTGCTGATACTCCTCTGTCTCCACTTCATCACTAACTTCTTCATCAACTACTCTTTCAGATACAACTTTATCATTTTCTGAACTGACACTATAGAAGTGCCCATTTCTCTGCTATTCTCACTATCTGAATCTTTTGAACAATTTCCAAAATATTATCAGTGCTCTCTTCAGGAAAGTTGAAGAATCATCTTTCTCTGGATGACATTCTAAATCTGGATCTTCTTGACTAGTATTATCTCTAACTTCAGTTACAAACATCCCTGTTTCCCATTCAGAAGTGTTTGTATCACTTCCCATTTCATGTCAACATTGTCATTTTGTACATGACTATTTGCCTCAGTCAACTTGGTATTATGCACTGTACTCTGTGTATCAGTGTTCCCCTTACTCTTAGGATAAGTATCTGTTGGTTCAGAGTTGCCATTGTCTTGCTTAGAGTTTACAGCATCTGGTATTCCTTTACATATTCTGACATGGTTATCCTCAACTGTCCCTTCTGATAACTTAGTATTTTCCTCCTTTACTGAGACCAGTAAGTTAGTTCCTAAATTTTTGTCTTTATCAAGTGCAATGTCATCGTTTGTGTTATCACATTGTGCATTATCTTCTTGAACTGATAACTCTTGTACTATATGTTTATCCTCTGCAACATCATCCCTATATACACCCTTCACTAATCTTGTATTTTCAACTGATGAAATTTGTACTTCTGCTCCTCCTTCCCATCAATCTCCATATCTGTTGCCATCTTTTCTGATGGCTTTGTGTTTTATTTGACTCTACTAGAGTCTCATTTATATCCTCTGATATCATTCTATCTTGGCTCCCATCTGATGACTCTTGAGCATTCTTCTTTCATCCTCAACCTCATCACCTTTAGCATCATTTTGCCTGGTTTTCCTTGTTCCCTATTCAAAAAACTTTCATCCTCCAAGTCTGTATTCTCAGTCCCTGTAGAATCATCAATATAGCCATCATTTCCACCCTTATCACCCAGTCCTAATACCTTTCCATCCTCTGCCCACACTTGATCATTCAATCCTTTTTCATGGTTATCTGAGTCTTCTTTTCCACCATTCTGCATATACCATCCTTTACTTCATAATTCTCTTTTTATTGTTCATCCAGTGATCACTTACATCCTTGTCTTGGCTTATTCTCCCTCACAAATGGCCTTCTTCTTGTCCTTGGGTAAATACTTGAATAGTGATCTGGTCACTTATATCCATTGAGCTGCTGGAACTATCTGAGCTGAAATGACATTTTCAGCATCCTTTTTCTCCGCACCAGTGGGACAATCTGATTCTGACATTTTGTTACATAAACTGTTCTGCTTTCATGTGTTGCACCACTGCAACATGTGAGGAAGTTTACTACCCTGAAGACTGGAAGTCTGAAAGAAAAAAATTGTATATTTACTATGACAAATACTGAAGAAAAATAGAAAGCAAAGCACACAGTGAGGTGCCTAAAATCATAGAGTATCAAATGCCATCAGAGCTGAAATTGAGTTAAGAAATTGCATTATAACCAAATATCAATACCTAGTGCAATAAAAACAGTAAATTATCCAACTAAAGGAAGGAATCTGTCCTTTGATGTGCATGCATGCATGCATGCACACACACCACACACACACACACACACCACACACACACACACACACACACACACCACACACACACACACCACACACACACACACACACACACACACACACACACACACACACACAAACACACACACGCACACACTTATACACAAAAACAAACACACTTACACAAACACACACTTATACACAAACAACACACACTTAATACACAAACAACACACACTTATACACAAACAACACACACTTATACACAAACAACACACACTTATACACAAACAACACAACACTTATACACAAACAACACACACTCATACATGTACAGGCACCACATTCTTATACATGCACTCAAATACACTCATACACTCTCACTCGTGCACAAGCACACACTCATACACATTCCCACATGCACTCACACACTCATTCACACTCACACCCAAGAACGAGAAAAATCTGGGACTTCAGGGACAGACAACTCAATAAGCATAATACATTGAATGTAATTAAAGTGAGATCCTACCCTTCAATTTGAAACAAAAGGCAAGTGAAAATGTCTCACTTTCCCCAAAAAAATTAACCACGCAATCAGCTTCAAGGCACATTTGATATATACATATCTTACCAAAAAATAAGAATAGTACTGAAAGTAAGTAATATAAACTTTACAAATGTGAATAAAATAAAAGGTCTCACCTATGCCATGGATAAATAATCACTCTTCAAACTATGACAGTCTACTGTACTACAAACTTTCATCAGAACAGATTAGTTTTCTTTGAGGTAACTTGTCTAATGTATGGTTGGATAGTTACAAACTCTAAGGACTTGGCACATGCAATTTCAACACAGTCCACTGTCTGTTTTTAACCTTTATTTATTTGTGCATCTCTACATTTGCCATTCCCACTGCCTATAAAAATCGTTACTATGAACATTCTAAGAAGAAAAAACCTATACCAAAACATAAAAGATCTATAGAGTTGGTCTGTTAACCAAGTGGAAGATAATGTGTTATCCCTTTGAAGCAATTACTTTGGGTGTATAATTTTTTATTTAGTTGTATTTTGCATTCTTATTGTTTCACTTCAAATTTTAGTCTGCTAAATCTAATTTTACCTATCCAAACTTATCCTCCTCATCCTATCCTACCTATAATCCCACGCATCCCATCCTATCCTAATCAAACTTAACCTGACCTAACCGTATAACTTTAACCCAATCCAATACATTGTTCCCAGCCAAAGAAAGCTTCCTCCTCCCCTTAACAGAGGAACTTATCAGGTGAGGGGACGTGAGGGTTAACCGGTGGATGGGCAAAGACCAAATTCTACATTTATTAAGCCATTCCCTGGTTTGGAGACAAGTCTGCTATGAAAGTCGGGTTAAAACTACACCATAAAGTGTTGGTAACTATTAGCCATTGGTAGATACATCGGTGTTTGTGACACAGATCTTTAAGTCAGATTTAAACAAAATTGGACTTTAAAAATCTAACAAAAACATTTTTTCATCCATTTCGAAAGATAGTCATCAAATGAAAAAATTACTAACTTACCGACTTTCGTCTGTGATCTACTGCTCTCTCTTGAACGCACCATAACACGAACGATCTGCTTTTGGAAATGATTTTCGTTCATTTGCAACACCGCTAAAAGATATTAATAGCAGTAATAACCCGCCGATAATTGGGACCAATTATGATATATGTATTTATCATTTATAATGTAAATAATTGATATGTAAAACTTATGAAGGAGGAATATGTTGCGTTCATAAGCTTTTATTTGAGATTTATAAGAACTAGAGCTTAGCAAGTACTGACAAACGTGGTTGTATTCATCTAATCTTTTTCACAAATTCATCTTTCTTCTAATATGCGCGTTTTTTTCTTGAAAATGTAAAGATCTTTTGCATCTACCGGACCAAAATATTTAGGAAAATAATAAACAACCTAATTCAATTGTTCTAATTTTGACATTTTGATAATGTAACTGGTCATGTTTATTTGATGTCTTTTTTTTCTAATCAGATTATATATTAATTATGGATTCCATCCTCTATACAAGTGCAAGTTCATCAAATATTGCAAAGTTCCATCTAAAAAATTTAGGCCCTTGAACAACTGAGTTTGCGTTGAAGCACTGTGAAATGCAGTTATCAGTCAAAGGCTACATTATTTTTTTCTCGATAATATGCGAAGAGGGCTAGTTTTGCTTATACAAAAATAATAATTATAACAATAGTATTGATAAAAATAATAATAAAAAAAATTAAAGGCAGTTCGCGTTCTTTTAGTTCAGGGTTATGTAATAAATATTTCGTAAAAGTTTTATATGATTCTGTTGAATTTACAAAATAAATTATCTTAATAGTTTATATAATTATTATGTTTCATATTAACTACCCTGAAATATACAAAATATACGTATTTTTGCCAAATATTACGAGATACGGATATAGCATAACCCGGTTTTAAAAAAAGATAGCCAATTCGCTCATAAACATTAGCTGAACCTTTTGCCCTTTTCCGACTCGGATTCATTGCTAACACAAATAATGGTTACAACAGAAGATATAATTGAAGAGAAGGAAGAAAAAAAGGCTCCAGTCTTCAAAAATCCTGAATTCCAGGTAGGCAACATTTTATCATTGGCTCTCCGTAAGACTATGAACATGATCGCAGTGTAATGGTTTCTACGAAAAATAAGAAAAATGATGTAAAACACTCAAAATTGAACCAAATCACCCCAAATCACGAATGAATGGTGGAAATCGATGACTTCATACGTATGCTGTTCATATTAAAGTTCCAGAACTATTACCTGTTTCAGTTTCTGTTCACCAGCAAGTGACACTTCCTTTTTTGATAATAGATCACCAAGGTCTACAAGATCTAGCTTACCAGAATTAGAAATTAAAAGGCTTATTGATTTTGGCTAAGTCATACATATATTGTTGCAGTACATTGTCATTTGTACCAAAATGCTTATTGACCGAGGGAGTTTAACCCCAGACCCCAACCCAATTGCTATATTTCCCTGCGCAGCAGTCTCCAGACCACCATACACCCACCATGGACTTTTTCTCTGCGTGGTAGATGTTGTGATCTATTTTCTCAGTATCAGGGTGTGTGTAGTTTTTCTCTTTATGACAGTCATTTGATTTTCCCAATTTTACTGCAGTCATCATGTAAATGTATACTAAAGTATCACTTACATGTTGCATAGTTTTCTTAATACTAGGAAATGTTGTAGTTGAAGTGTCTTGTTGTATATATGTTCCATTACAGGTAAAGTTTACCTGGCAATGTATGGTAGTGTGAAAATGAAACTGAAATCGTTTCTTTGAATTACAAAACCTGAGGCATCTTTTTCGACGGGAATTAGGATGTCCCGAGATGTGATGCGACATCAAAAGCTGTCTCGTGATCAGAGGCGAGACAGGCCTCGAAGCTCCGCCCATTTCTGTGATGTAATGGGAATAATCGTGGTTGACGGCTTGCTATTTTACTGTACTGGTTATTTTTTCAACAGGTACACAGTATATTGGAATATGATATCCAAGATGGCTTTTCATATCTTATGGTGGGTAGTGCTGTATTATAGATATCCAATATAAGTATGAATATGCATGAAATATCCGAAGTAGGAGGAATGTATCTGGCAACCCGATTAAAGATAACAGTCTGCTCAATTCCTGTCGCATTTCCCGTAACCGCTGGAAAATATACCTCTGGACTTTTTATAGTTTAGTTTTGGCAGTATACTACTTTTCTATAAAATTATCTCCTCATTTATAAGGGTCAATCCCCAAGAAATCACGTCTTTATTTGTCAGTTGAGTTACAATAATTATGATTACAATTTGAAAATCATTTAGCTTTTTAAGCAGAGGCTCCATCCCCATATTCACAACTGTTTTACTTATCCATCTCCTCAGTTCTTTCTATGGCTGTGTCTTAGTATAGTCACATTATAGGATTTTAGCATTAATAGTGGTAAGGTGGTTTTTAAAAAGCTTAATTATAGGTAATTTTATCCAAATAAATATCAGAGACAGACAGAACAGTTTACACTAATTGAGAATAATCTTATTGAAAAAAAATTATATACATATCATGTTTTTCACAAATATTTCATCATAATAAGTTTCAAGTCAGTGTAGAAAGGGTTCTTCAAAGCTTCAAATTATGTTAATTTGAATTCCAGCACACCGCATTCCGTAGCAGCAAAAAAAGAGGATGGAAGAACTTGAAACAGATTATAGCTCTGGAAAGGGGCTACACCTGGCCTCATGATGCTGTTCACTGTAAGTCCTACATTTGTATGAGTATATATTAAATAAAATACTGTGGTTACACATTCAAAAGTAGATTTGAGGATATACACCTTCAAAGGGGGTCTTAGACCAATTTTTTTATTGAAAATATTATTAATTTAAGCATCAATATCTTCACTTTAATGCACTACAATCACAAAATAGAGTCATTAAGTGACTATATTGATGCTCATGTTAGAGATGGTTTAAATTGACAAAAATTTAATACTTCCATTGTTGGGCAGTTAGTATGAGACCCCCTATGGACATGCATACCTTTATTTATTATTGATCATTTATTTTGCTGGCTTCCCCAAAAATATTGCTAATTTCTTTGGGAAGTCTTCTAAGTCTAGCATAATCATGCCCAGTATGGCCATTCAGTACTTTCCTCTCACAATTCTTTTCTAATTCATCTCAGTCTAAACTCCAACCCATACAACAATAACAATTAATTTAAGGGATTACAAAAATATCCTCCAAGTTATCCCACAGAAATCTTTCCTTTCAGATAGCAGCATTGATGCCCCTCCAGCCTTTACACCAGCCAAAAAATATTCAGATGTTTCTGGATTACCCGTAAGTCATATTTAGTTGGTACTTTGTAGTCATTTTATTGATATAGTGCATTTTAGAATTATATATGATGGTTAAACCCATAAGAAATGCCAAAGGCAAGAAAAGACATTGTGAAATTGGAATAGAAGATAGCATTCATTTCTTAATATTGTATTCTGAGAAAGTATGTGGACTTAGGATACTACCATAAATTACCCTATGATGTCTGAAAATAATGGATATTCTCTGATTTTCAGGCCAACTACACTGACCCTCTAACAAAACTGAGATATGCAGATTCTTCTGAATTTTATAGGGTCCGTGATCTTCCCATGGACATTGTCAATGGTCTATTAGAGCTGAGAAAAGCTAATAGTATAGTTGGATGATTGATGCTCATTGTATACATGTGTATCTGGTCAAAATTATTTATAGTTTATGTATATTTTTTATTTTGTCAATTTTATATAACATGAAAATAAATATCATGTATTCTTTCACTTACATCAAATAAACTAGAATTGAAACTATATATTAATTTTCTTACCATTCTCAACTATAAATAGAAATATTTGCTTTTAATATAAACCGACAATCACTATACTGCACAAAAAATTGTATACAAGCCACTAAGTAATGAAGAATTTGATGCTTAAGTTTGTACAGAGAAATGCTTGTATCACAATATTTATTCATGTGTAAAGTATTTCCAGGAGACTGATTCTTTCTTTAGGTAAGCCAAGCCTTAATGATGTTAAAACAAATAAAAAGGCACCTTGTTAAGTTATTTCAACACCTGAAATGAACCACTTTTTGCCTAAAAGAAGTACTAAGTGTAAAACCAACTAAGTCTTCTGTATTGCCTTTTTATGTAAGGCAAGCTGTGCACACATATAGTCTCATTAAACCAAATTTACATTCCAGCAAAAAATATGTAAAATTCAGGGAAGCCAGCCTACATTGAATCTTCTATACCCATTTGACACAAGCAGCTACATTCAAATATAAGCTGTGAGTACAAGCTATTTCTATCAAGCAGTTAAGAGGTAATGAAATGAAAATGTATCCCAAAATATTTTTATTTGAATTATACCCAGTCCATATAAAAAAATGGTCATACATCTAACAAGCATGTCTTTTTTTCTGGAAATAAAGAGAGGGCATTGGTTTCATCAAATTCTAATTAATCATGGCAGTGAATGGCTCCTAGCACTTCAAAATTATTTCTGCCTTTAAATATTTGCTTGCTAAATAATTTGCTTCAATGTGACCAACTGATAGTTTTTCAGCATCTACATTTGTATATAATGCAAGTTGATAATCTAGGGAATTGTTGAAAATTTAATATTTGGAAGCATAAAGGAGAAATGTTATCCTTTTGAGAGGCATAAACTTGACATCTCATGCTGAAAAATAAGTCTAAAAATATGTAAAAACTATCCATTGGTCTAAACTTGTATAAAATACAAAATACCATAGAGCATATATAAAATGTCTTGCAGCAACCCAATACACTGGTGTAGTGTTTTATACTCCCTTAAAAGTTAATAACAGATCTGAGCTTGCACCATTTTGGCTATATGAACAAATCATAATCTTATAAAATACATATTTTCTTCAAATTACCTTTTCATTAGCTGTAACTGTGATGTTCCCTGCTGAAGTGTAGCGAGTGACACAAAAGAAATCAGAAAATGGTGAAAAATATTTGATGATCAATGCTTATATCTACATGTAATTTAATCCAAAGCTTAAGTTGAGCAACAAAGGACAAACCCAAGAATTAAAGTGGGTCCCTTAACTTTGCAGAAATAAGGTCACGTCTGCCGAAATGAATTTTTAATTTGGGATATTACAGTAGCCAGTGGGATGGTTACTTCTATTATACCCTAACCTAACCTTGATCCAAGCTGATGCCTGTACTCATATTCAGAGCTGTGTAATTGGGCAGGATCTGGTCAAGTGAAAATCCCAATGTAATGGCCAAGCAACTAATCTAACTAAAGGATATACCACCAGAAATCACCATAGTGATTCGATTTTGGTGAGAATTGTTTCATATATGCATTTTGTTTTGAATCAACTTCACAGCATGGAAATGAGGTAACAATAAGAGAATAGAATAGTAGGTGTAGACCAACAGTTCTCAAAGAGTAGCATGCTATGTGTAGAACATTTCCTACTGGCTGTTACTATTTTTTTGCACAGCTACTAAGCACAGATGACAATATGAGAAAGTTTTGACTGCCCAATATTACTTTCTTTGGAGTTGAGTCAGATAAAACACGGAAAATTAATCAGAAAAGAAAAACAAGGAAATTTAATGGATAATAATACAGTTAATATTAGCTTCTGCTTTTCCTAGCCTTTTTATGCCAAAACCTTTGAATTTTGGTTGAAAGATTTGAACCTAAAACACCTAACAATGGGCTGATACAAGTAAAAGTTCTCTAAAAGTAGACTCCATGTCACATATCTCACTTCAGCAAAGTGGATTACAAATAAGCTGTATTCACTAATGAAAATATGAAGAAACATCAGTAAGTTTCTAAATTAATGTACACTAAAACCAATATTGACCAACAAACAAATATCAACCAATATCAAAAAAATATGCAATTAATTTTACCAACTGTAAAGCTCAGGTGGACTGAGTATATCTTCACCTTTAACCTTAAAATTCTCTGATAAACTTTGAACTTTATTAAACATAGTACCAAAAACAGACACTAAATTACGACATACAAACCACATGATGACCAAAACAAATCATTAACAAAATAATACATTTTACAACTGGATGGTCCAATACTACCATATGCAGTAACAGAAAAATACTGTAGGAAAAATATTCAAAATAACTGAAAAAAAAATTGTTCTTAATAAATGTTATGATAACAATTTCCTTAAAATATATGACTTCATAAATTTTCCAGAAATTAAATTCTTTGTAATGTCATTTCACTACAAGCAGGCATCCTGACAAATACTCCAAATTGGGTTGATGCACAAGATGCACATATAGCATTTAGGCTTATACTCCATACACAATGACATTTATGCTCAACTTTACATATCCGTTATCCACAAAAAATGCAGGTATAAGCATTTTCCTTTATTATGTCTCTATGACATAGAATACTTGTATTCTAACTTAAGGATTTTAATTTCCCAGTATTATTATTACACAGATCAAGTATACAAAAATACTTGGAAAAAAGAGGAAAACAAGGGAATATGATTATTAATACACACTCTCATTTTATACTTTCAATTCATTTGCATTTAAGGTTTTGTTACCCTGTTAATATTAGAACCAAGCTTCATTGAATGAATATAGATGATGTATTCTATAAAGCATGGGAATACATATCAGATTCTTTGATTATGTATCCATGCAGATGTGTATACGACCAGCAGCAGGTTTCCACCATATTAATGTAGCATAGGCTGAAGTTAACACTGAAAAAATGCTTGATAATTACAAGAACAAAGAAAATAATTAACATGTCTTATGTAATCAGTTCATTCTAGCAATCTTCTTAATAATTAGTAATTTTGGATCTTTGGCAAATTATTTACAGATCAATCCAAATGACTTACATATTAATATACATGTTTGCACATACAAGTTCAGATCTATGATGACATTATCATATTCATTAACAATATAGAAAATAGCACCTTCAGATTTCTAAATATAATAGTAAACTGAGCCATCAAATTCACATCATTAGTTTCAGTAAAATACAACACAGTTCATGTGATTATAAGAAAATCTTTCAAACAAATCATATTAAAAATGCTATCTTAGTTTTCTGTAATTCAACTACTATTTCATATGCGAAAAGTAAGCAATGGATCTTTTCTGAATCTGTGTTATGTATATTTGCCTATATATATTTATATGTGTATGTCCTTCACTGTGTTTGTGATTATCCATACAAATGGAACTGTGTATGGGGTTGGGGGGATGTTTTCACTGCTTTTGCTTGTGTTTGTGATGATAGGGAGACAGGCAGATATAATGCACACAATAGGCATAAATGGATAGATGCACAGATAAAGTGACAGCAGAAGATACATTTGCATTAACATATGTGTATATATGCACATGCACATTTATACATGTATGTAGGCCATACAAAGTGATACTAGAGAGTGAGTGAGTGAGAGAATGGAAGGGGTGGAAGAACAAGGATTAGGAAAGAAAAAGGGACAAGGATAGTTAAGGGGAGCGGATGGGAAGAAAAGAACAGAACAGAACAGAATAGAAGAGGGAGGGTAGAGGGAAAGGGAAAGAGAGAGGGAGAGGGAGGAGAGGGAGAGAGATGCAGAGGGAAAGGCAGAGAGAGAGAGACACACACAGAAAGAAAGAGAGAGAGAGAGAGAGAGAGAGAGAGAGAGAGAGAGAGAGAGAGAGAGAGAGAGAGAGAGAAGAGAGAGAGAGAGAGGAGAGAGAAGAGAGAGAGAGAGAGAGAGTAAGAGAGAGAGTAAAGAGAGAGGTAAGAGAGAGAGAGAGAGAGAGAGAGAGAGAGAGAGAGAGAAGTTAGAGAGGAAGAGAAGAGAGAGAGAGAGAAGAGAGAAGAGAGAGAGAGAGAGAGAGAGAGAGAGAGAGAGAGAGAGAGAGAGAGAGAGAGAGAGAGAGAGAGAGAGAGAGAGAGAGAGAGAGAGAGAGAGAAGAGAGAGAGAGAGAGAGAGAAGAGAGAGAGAGAGAGGGGGGGGTGCGAGAGAGAGAGAGAGAGAGGGAGGGCGAGAGAGAGAGGAGGGAGGGCGAGAGAGAGAGAGAGGGAGGCGAGAAGAAAGAAGAGAGGGAGGGAGGGCGAGAGAGAGAGAGGGAGAGGCGAGAGAGAGAGAGAGGGAGGGAGAGAGAGAGAGAGGGAGGGCGGAGAGAGAAGAGGGAGGGCGAGAGAGAGAGAGAGGGAGGGCGAGAGAGAGAGAGAGGGAGGCGAGAGAGAGAGAGAGGGGGCGAGAGAGAGAGAGAGAGGGAGGGGCAAGAG